CAAGACAAATATAAGAAATGTCTTGGATCAGCACTGTCCAGAGAATTTTGTCCTGTGACAGAAATGTTTGATATCTGCTCTATCCAGTTCGGTAGGCACTAGCCACATGTAGCTCCTGAACACTGGAAATGTGGCTAGTCTCACTGCCAAACTGAAATTTTAATTCTATTCATTTTAATTCATACAAATTCAAATAGCCACATATACTTAGTGGCTACAGTAGTCGGCAGTACCGTTCTAGATGAAGAACTATCAGGAAGACATACAGTCAGTTAAAAGCACCACAATGGGATGATTCCAAAGCACTGAGAATCTGTTGATATCATCTACTTTGATGGGGAAAAAAGGCAATGTAATCTGTTTATTTTACTTAACAGAATGTTACACACACAGAAATATACTTTAGAGATTCAGAATCCTTGGTCAGCAGAGATAATAAGGTATTAGGGCAAGAGGTGTAGAAATGCAACTTATCCATATAAGCTGGTACATAAATCAATGAGCGGATAAGTTTCTCAAGAGAGCAAAGGTGGTGGCAAACCAATAGGACTTCATGTGACTGCAATCATGTACTTGGGGGAGTTTGCAAATTAGTGATGTCGGAAAGAGGTTGAAGGGGCACTGTAGGACTTCATAAGGAATATAAGAAGAAATTATAAAATACTTCAATGACTCTGAAAGATATATTTGCATGTTTATAGCTCTTCCTGTTAAATGTTTCCACTTATTTCCATATGGTTTGTGTTTCTCCCTTTAACTCTAAGAAATTCAATTATCATTGAAAGCTATCCCAGGTTTTGAGTCAAACATTATCTCAGCCTGAATCTAGCCATAACTCACCAGGCAACTGCTTCCCAAGTGTAGGAATCTCAAATACAATGAAGCATCGTACCCACTGTATTCTATATTGTGGCTATTTTTGGCTTATGACTCTTCCATATAAAATTTATAATCAGTTTTTCCAAGTCCCACCAAAAAAGAAAAAATCCCTATTGAGATTTCAATGGGAATTGCATTGAATTTATAAATTAATTTGGAAAGAATCAATGGTCCAAGATATAGAATCTTCTACTATATCAACATAGGATATCTCTCCATTTATTTGGGTCTTCTTTAATTTCTTTCAATAAAGTTTTATAATTTATTTCATGAAGATTATGTACATCTTTTGGTAGATTTATTCATAAGTACCATTTTTTGTTGCTGTTATAAAGGGGATATTCTTTCTCCTGTTACATTTTCTATTTGTTGATGGCAAATAGCTTACAGAGCAACATTATATCCAACCACCTTCTTAATTCTTTAAGAAGCCTATAGATTCTTTTAACTTTGTAGGTAGAGAATCATACTATCTGCAAATAATGACCTATTTGCTTCTTAATTATTTCTTGCCTTACTAGAAATCCAATAAAATGTTAATGAAAACTGACAACAGTTGGTGCCCTTGCCTTTTCTAGATCTTAAAAAGAATGCTTCCAATATTTTATCATTAAGAATAATGTTCACAGTTTCCAAGATTTCATCATTAAGAAAAATGTTCACTGTAGGGTACTGTTTGTTTAATACCCTTTATCTCGTTAAGGGAATATCCTCCAACATTTGGCTTCATGAGATTTTTTTAAAAATCATAAATAGATCTTGAATTTGTCAAAATAATTTCTGCATCTATTGGATTGATTTTTTTCTCATTTAATCTCTTGAAATAACAAATGACATTTACAAATATCTGAATGTTAAACTACCCTTGTATTCCTAGAGGAAGCCCAGTATCTTCACAATGCATTATCTTTTTTATATACTGCTGGATTTTGGCTTGTTAATATTTAATCTAGAATTTTTGCACCAATGTTCAGGAATGAGACTGGCCAGTAATTTACCTTTTTATACTGTTCTTGACAAATTTGGGTGTTAGGTTTATACAAGTTTCACAGAATGAGTAGGGAAGTATTGTCTCTTTTGCTATATTCTAGAAGCATTAGTATAAGACTGAAATAACTTATTCATTAAAGTTTGGTAAAAATATCTGGGCCTGGTATTTTTTCCTAAATCTTATTTAGATTACTTTTTCTGGTTTTTTTCTTCTCTGACGAGTTTGAAATTATAGAACCTATTTCTACTCTTTCAGTAGTTACCTTTATAATTTTAAAATTTCATTCTTATTTTAATCAAAGATACATGTGGACATAGCTTAGAGTCAAATAGGTTTTTTTCTGTCTTGGTTTTTAAAGATTTTATCCATTTATTTGAGAAGAGAGAAAGAGAGCACCTGCGTGCACGCCTGCACATGAACAGGGGAGGGGCAGAGGGAGAGGGAGAAGCAGAGTCCCCGTTGAGCAGGGAGCCTGATGTGGGGCTCGATCCCAGGACCCTGGGATCATGACCCAAGCTGAAGGCAGACGCTTAATGACTGAGCCACCCAGGTGCCCCAGAATCAAATAGTTTTTGAGTCAAATGCAGCTTCATACCCTAATCCCCAGAGGCAAGTACTTTTAATTTTTTATCTGATTCTTGGGCTGCGTCCATATCTTAGGCTATTGGTGTCCATATCTCTACATAACATGCTCATATTATTACTTCTTGATTTTTTTTGTTTCAGGCATTATCTATTACCTTCTCACTCAGGAAAATAAAGACTTAAATTACTTTCACACATACCCCCATCCTCTTCTAACCTACCACATACGCACAAATATCACTCTTCAATCCGTACAACACAGTTATTTGAATTTTAGATAGATGCTGCTGCTTTGCACACACATTCAGTGCCTACCCTCCAGTGTTTAAGCTTTAACTCTACTGCACCCCCAACCGTGCTGGTCCCTCGCTAGCCCAGAAGGCGTGAATCATCCTATCCGTTGGAGATCTCCAGGGTAGAAAGGCTGGGGGGCTGGCCGCTTCCTAGAACACCTTTCAGCCGCTCCTCCTTTTGTGGCCTCACCTTCCCCCCACTTCCAAGACATGCCTAATGACATCTGAACTATCAGAGGATTCCTCAACCAGTTGCTCCTCAGCTTTCTCCATCTGGATGCATATAATGCCATTTATTTCTCCCAGGTACACATGGCATTTCTGAGTGTCTTGTTGCTTTCCTTTTTATGTGAGGACATGTTATTTTCTTTAAGCAATTTTGTACATAATTTATATTCTGCCTCTGGTGGTTCTAAATCTGAAGTTCTTAGGAATCTAAATCATTTTTCATTGTTTCTGCTGACTCCTCATGAAGCTTGGAAGTCAGCTTTCCCAGGCCCTCTGAGATGATGATCACCTGCTTTCCTAAACGAGCTTCCTAAATTTGGCTGCTATTGTCTCTTCACTTGTTCCTATAGGCTTCTGTCTTTGGGGGGAGGGCAGAGCGAGAAGGAGAGAGAGAATCTTAGGCGGGCTCCACGTGGAGCCTGACATAGGGCTCGATCTCAAGACACTGAAAACATGACCTGAGCCAAAATCAAGAGTCAGACACTTAACCTTAACTGACAGCCACCCAGGCGTCCCTAAATAGATATTTTTAAGACAGAAGTCTAGCTCAGCAGGGAGTCTATGTTTCTCCCTCTGCCCCTCTCCCTGCTCATGAGGGCACGCGCATGCACTTGCATGGGGTCTCTCGCTCTCAAATAAACTCTTTAAAAAAATTTTTTTAAATAAAAATATCCATTTATTGTCATACTTGTGATTTGGGGAAGGGATTGAAAATAAATGCAAGCATTCAATTTATAATGTTTAGTTGGACATTCTCCTTAAAACATCTCCTTCGTATTTAAGTTAAATTCTAAAGTTATTCTGTTCCATAGCCCTCACTCCTGAACACCCTTCCCAATTTACATGCCACTGTCCCATATAATTTAACTCTAGTGTTTTAATTCCCACAAATAAGATGTTATTATTGTATACACATAAGATTCGTTAGATTACCAGTTTCTTTGTTCACTAGACCTTCTTCTATTTTAGACCTTACTTCTGGAGACATTCTTCTCATTTCTTTAGAATAACAGTCTCACAGTGTGCTTTATGGACTGACAAGGGTTCCAAGACCCTCTTAGGAGGAGTCTAGAAGGTCAAAATACTTTCACAATAATACTAAGGTGTTATTTGTCTTATTCACTGCATTGACACATACCTTAATGGTGCAAAAGCAACGGTGGGTAAAAATGCTGGTACCTTAACACAAATCAAGGCAGTGGACCAAACTAAGCTAAGAATCATTTGTTCTTCTCTTTCACCCACTCTTAGCAAATTTTCTGAAATGCTAGTTCACTTAACAGTATGCTTGGTGAAGCAGAAAAGAACATATTAATTTTATTAAATCTTGGCCCTGTTTACACAATGTCTTTTTAATATTCTCTGTAACCAAATGGGAAGTACGAAAAACACTTCTGAATACCGAAATATGATGGTTGTCTCAAGGAAAACACTTGTGTGATTGAGTTGCAAGCTGACGTAACCAGTTTTTTCATGGAACACCATCTTTACTTAAAAGAATGACTGACAGGATGAACTATGGCTATTCAGACTTGGATAATTGGCATCATTTTCTTAAAATTGAATGAAGTAAGCCTGTTATTTCAAGGAAAACAAATGACAGAATTTGTTGCCAATGACAAAATTCAAGTTTTCAAGGAAAATTAGAATTTTAGAAAACTTGTATTTCGCACCATGGGCTTCACAGCTGTTCAGTACATGGACTTTCATAACAAGATCAATGATGATGTTAATGAATGTGACTTTTGTATCAATGTTAAGAAGACCTACATTACCAATGTTTTCCAAATCACCAGTTTTTGATGTTATAAGATCATACACAGGTAAAAGATCCATTTAAAGCTTAAGATAGGCAAATAAACTTTAATGTAACAAAATGTAAAAAATGTTTACTGATATTGCTTTCAAATTCCACATTGCAATTAACCATTAGGAAACTACTATTTGATGAGTTTTGCTACAGTACCAAGAATAATATCCACTGTTATCTGCAAAGGCTATTAAAATACTTCTCCCTTTTCCAGCTACACATCTGCAAGAGGACAGATTTTCTTCATACATTTCAACCAAAACAATATACAGCAACAGAATGAATGCAGAAGCAGGTATGAGGATCTAGCAGTCTTCTATTTACCCAGGCAATAGATTGTCAGAAATGTAAAACAATTTCTCACTAATGTTTTTGTGTGTGAAAATAAGTTATTTTTCCTTAAAATACGTCATTTATGCTAACATCAATTTTTTCTTTTTTAAGAGAGGGAGTGGGGAGGGGCAGAGGGAGAGGGAGAGAATCTTAAGCATCCACACCCAGCAGGGAGCTCAACATGGAGATCCATCTCACAACCCTGAGAACATGATCTGAGACAAAATCAAGAGTCAGATCTTTAGGGGAACCTGGGTGGCTCAGTTGTTAAGCGTCTGCCTTCGGCTCAGGTCATGGTCCCAGGGTCCTGGGATCGAGCCCCACATCGGGCTCTCTGCTCAGCGGGAAGCCTGCTTATCCCTCTCCCACTCCCCCTGCTTGTGTTTCCTCTCTCTCTGTGTCTCTCTCTGTCAAATAAATAAAATCTTAAAAAAAAAAGAGAGAGATCTTTAACTGACAGAGTTACCTAGGTACCCTAAATGGGTTTGTTTTTTTAATAAATTAATAAATAAATTTAATAAATTAATAAAAAATTTTAAACTTCAGGTTTAACTTATATGGTAAATACTAATAGATATAACCCATATATACAAAAGCCCTTTGGGGTCCTCAATAATTTTTAAGAATGCAAAGGAATTTTGAGGCCAAAATGTTTGCTTAAGGAGTTCATTTATTAGGGCCTGTTGGTGATAAACTCTCACATTTTCCATCTCTTTGTCTTTCTATGCTGCATTCTAGGTAATTTCTTTCAATCCATATATCAATGATTCTCTCAATTGTGCTTAATTTGCCATTTAACCAACTCATTAATTTTTCAGTATCAACTGAACAATTATATTTTCCCATTTTGAAATTTGTATTGGTCTCTTTTCAAATCTTCCTGTTTATTTTGGATAGTTCCTTACTGCTTTCTCATTTCTATGAGATACCAGGTTATTTCTTTAAACATTTCATATATAATCATTTGATATTTTACATTCTGATAATTCTGAAACCTGAATTTATTAGGGCTCTAAATCCTTTGCTTATTGTTTCTACTGACTCTTCTCATGATGAGACAGAGGCTTTTTCTTCTGTCATTTTGGTGATCTTTGATTGTGAGTTTATCTTTGGTAGATATTAATCTATAGGAATCCTGAGGGCCAATGGAGGTTGCCTTCCTCCAGAGCAGGTTTTCCCTTTCTTCTGCTGGAGGCCAGGGAGCACTAGACCTGGAGCTTCCTTATCTCCCTTCCAGGGTCTGAACCTAAAAAAGAAGTCTCATGTTCTATTCAGTCACCTTCCATTGGGCACAAAGCTCAGTCTCCTGATTGCATTTGCTTACAGCTCACTGCATCTGCTACTCAAATTTCAACAAAGTATTCTTTTTTTTTTTACACTGTTAGATATTTCCCTCATTTCCTACAAACAGCACTGCATTTGAAATCACGATGTTACTCAAGCACATGTATATCATAATGTAATCAAAACACAACTTTATTTCTGCCTCCCACTGTTCCATTAGGCTTTATTTAGCAGGGATAATGTTTCCCTATGCTTGAAAGAAAAACAGTCTTGATTCAGAAACTAGGATGTCCAATTCTGTATAATAATTATAACTCTGGGCTTGATTTAGCAGTAAATCTCCTCCTCTCCCAGCTCGCTTCTGCTTCAAGTTGAAAGCCTACAATGAGAGAGGCTGATTGGCTTCTTCCCTAATTCACTGCTTTGTGCTTCTCTTCTCTTTCTTCCTCTTCCCTCTCCCAAGCTGATGTTTTGATGTCATCAGGGTCAAATTAGGAGGATGACAGAGACATGGGACAAACGTTCATACTTGAACTGATATCCTCATGAGCTGAGGGTTAATGAGCTCTGCAGAGCTTACTATCAGTGGATATCTTTCTCTCATAATGTCTAGCCCCAAATGGGTGCTTTTATAACCTGAGTGGTCATTCACAATTCCCCCTTAGTCTTTGTACACCAGTGGTATATAACCAGCCTCTATCTCCCAATATCTTCTCATCCATTGCACATGGCAGGCTCTAACAGAAACCACACTGGCTTTTTCACCCAAGTGCCCACGTCTAGTCTCTGAAACAATGAGACAGCTTTTGCCAAAAAAAAAAAAAAAAAAAAAAAAACCCACAAAACAAAAAACAAAAAACAAAAAAAACCTCAAACAAAAAACGAAAAACAAAACAAAACAAAAAACCCTCCCAAAGTCTGCCACAGGGTGGTTGGTTAGCCCTTCTCTTGCCCTCTAGATTTCTGACACCAGACTCGGACTCCACATAACAAAGCTTTCTAGATGGTGTCATGGAAGTTCTCACTGGACCTGAGATGAAGAAGGATCTCCCTCTGTGTGGGGGGAAACTGTGGGATTTATCACATGGTTTTCTCCAAAGATATCCTCCTCACTAACCCTTTCTTCTCCCATGCAATGACCCTTTTCATGTCCTTGAGCTACTACCTCATCGATGTGGTTCTCACAGTGTTCTCTCTCTTTGGTATCTATCATATTGGTGCTTCAATCAAAACTCAGGGACTCTCTCTCTCTCTCTCTCTCTCTCTAAAATAAATAAACAAATCTTGTGCCTGGGTGGCTTAGTCACTTGAGGGACCCACTCCTGGTTTCGGCTCAGGTCATGATCTCAGGGTTGTGGTATCGAGCCCCACCTCAGGGTCCATGCTCAGTGTGGAGTCTGCTTCTCTCCCTGGCCCTCTGGCCCTCCCCCCTCCCTCTACCTTCCCGCCCCCGCTCACGTGCATGCTCTCTCTCTCTCAAATAAATAAATCTTTAAAAAAAAAAAAAACTCAGGGGGAAGAATTTTGGTCCAACATTCTGTTACTCAACAATAAGTATGTTTTGTCCAGGAACTAGCTGAGTATTTAGTTCACCAAACTGGAGGAAGCAGAAGCATGTTCTAATAAACTTAATTAACTCATTCAGATTTTGTAAATGTATGATAAAAAACTTAAAAATAAGACTGCAGTATTTAGTCATACACTGAAGGTCCTGAGCCATGAAGAATACTGTAGACACGTCCACAAATCAATGTCATTTCTGGAAAACAATGATCAAGTATACTATAGTAAAGGACCTGCCTTCTTCATTATGAAATGTGCTCCATGTACCCAGTTACATGACTATGTCTCAACCCGCTTTTACCTCATTTGGATGCACATGAGGCCGTTTATTCCTCCAGATACACATTGCATAATTATTTTCTGCTCTAGTAAATGAATAGCTTAATTAGCTCTTTAATTTTATTTTAAGAGCCGAAAAATATAAGTAATAGCACATTCTTTTTTTAAAAAAATGTTCTAAATCATCACACTTTGTGACTAGTTCTTAAATATGTGAACTGTACAAAAAGAACAGAAAAAAGACAGAAAAAAACCTTTACTAAAAAGCTATTTTTGACAATTAAGAGGATTTCTCTTGTTTACATTAGAGGAGAAATAGTACAAAAGTAACTGAACACATGCCAGAATAATTAGCAGCTCTTGCTCATTTAAATTATGTGCACATTGCCATTTTAATGCATTTTTTAAACACCCACTTGCAATTCTATTTTATTCTCAGAAGAAAATTAATGACTTTCCACTGGGTATGACTAGTAAAACCAAATTTGTTTCCTGTTTTCTTGGAAAACATATATCTTCCTGGCTTTATAGACCCACTTTTAATAATAATTAAAAAATAATAATAATAATAATTGTACTTTGGAAGTATACAGTACTTCCGCATGAAAACCAGAGACATTTTTTATGTATGATAATGCCTCTATAGAAATATCAGGTTGTTTCTTCATAATCACTATATAACATGTTGATTCTAAGGATAATCTAATATTAATAATAAAAGGATTAGGACTGTGGTTTTTTTTTTCAGGAAAATACTTCAGTAGCTCCCTAAAAACAAATTCAGGTCATGAATTTTACATATTTTCTTCTAAATTTAAGGTCCCTGATGATTAGTCACAAAGTAGTGATTAGCAAGAAGAGCATGCATAAGCATGCTTCATGTCCTAGGAGATAAAAACAGGGAACAAAAAGAGAGGAGAGAGCCACTTTCTCCTTTTGAAGACGTAAATGCAGAAAAGTTGGTCATAAGGACACCAGACCCACTGATCTGAAACGTATGATTCGGACCAACAAAAGCCTTGTCATTAAATGTTACAACATATATAGCTCCACTAAATATCATGATATGCCTCACTCAGACTTCATAATACGCGGAAAACCTGGACACAACCTGCCTGCCCACTGTTATGCTGTGCCCAGTCTACTACGGGCCCCAACCAGATGCCATGTGAAACCACAAAAGCAAAAGCATCTTTGACACAGCCTGAGCCCTCCGGAGGCTCCCAGTCTATGGAGAGATACGCTGGTGCATAGGTAAGTATTATATCAAGTAAAGAGTTAGAGATTCTCTAAGACAGAATCAGATGGAGTGCTGAGGAAATTCACAGAAGGGAGCTATTACTTCTGCATGGAGGGACTGGGGAAGGCAGCTCAGCCCTCAACCGTATGGCCAAATAAAGCCATGAAAGAGTACAGTACCCTTTCAGGCTAAAGTGAGCATTTGTCACACGCAATCACTGGAGAGGAATGGAGTCCCACGTCACTCAGACCTATGTTTGCATAAGCTATACAAAAGTTAAATAAGGGTATACCTATCAGAGAATTGTCCACAAACCAAAGACAATGGGGCAAGGTCAGAAAAAAAATGATCAGGTGATCCAAGAAGACAAAAAGGGGGTTTCTGGTTGAGTAATTAACCTGACGTGATATTTTTACATTGGGCCTCTTTAATTCTAGATCCAAGTCTGAAATAGGATGTTTTAGAAGCTGTGATCTGGTCACACAGCGTTAGGGAGCTGTCACGTGAGGGAGGAGCATCCATGTCATGTGACATGTCCATGGCCGTTCAGATGCTAAGAAAGGATGAGCACACAGGTTGAGCCCAAGTGGGTGGGGAAGGCTATGCTGTTAGCTCAAGAAGACCAGAGTTTTCCACCTTCCATTAGAATATTCACTTCTGGGGGCGCCTGGGTGGCTCAATCAGTTGGGCATCTGACTCTTGATTTCGGCTCAGGTCATGATCTCAGGGTCATGAAATGGAGCTCTGAGTCGGGCTCAGTGCTGGGCGTGGAGCCTGCTTAAAGATTCTCTCTCTCTCTGAACCCCCCCACCCACCAAAAAAAGAATATGCACTTCCGTCTTTGCTTTGAAAGAAGAAAGACTAATTATAATAGTGCCATCTTTATTTTTGGAGGCTTATTCCCTTCATTTGATGATCTACAATCAAGCTACAATTGTGGAGACCAGATACATCACCAAAGGGTCCTTGAAATTATGCACTCATCATTTCCAAGATATGTGTGCAGCAATAACATTCATATTAATTTTATCATATTTTTGACAACAAAATAACATGTATAAGATATAGTCTTTAAGACTAATAATTTTTGCAAAAGCACATAAAGATCTGATTATATATTTTAACATTGCTCTTCTAGCACATGTAGCAACTAGTTCATGAGCTGATTTAACTTGACATGTGAAAATTAATCAACATCCTATCTTTGATCCATGCATGTAATTTCATCGATTTCAGTGGAATCAATCTTCAAGGGGCAGGGATAGAATCACTCCATAATTATCTCTACCAATCCAGTTGCTATATTTATTACAAAAGCCACTTCACCTTCCATACCGACTTTTGGAAATTCAAAAGCACATACATTACATTCTATTGAATTTGTTCCAGAGTATGAAATCCATCATGAAATTTGCAATGTAAAATTACCAGAACAAGAATGTATCTGAACTGATGAGAGTGAACACTTCTGAATATTTCAGAGGGAGATACAAGTTTACGTTTACTTCTTTAATATATAACCTAGGGTTGAGGGAAAGACCCTCTGTGGGTCTCTTATTAACATTCAGCAATAATACCGATAATCCTTATGTTTCTGTCCCATCCTTCAAAATGCTGGGTTTTACCTTTTACAAATCTCTCCCTAATTCCTTTCCAAAATTCCTCTATGACTTGCCTCAGCTCTACCCTCCAGCCATAGTCCAACAATATAATATAGAACTTAATTAGATACTTAACATTGAAAAATGCCCCTCGTGCTTCTGAAACTAGAGGAATAGGTAATGAAACAACCAGTACTGAGAACATTAAGCCAGTTCACGGAGCTCTTTTCTAATAAGGCATCAGTTAAAATTACTCAAGCCCACAACAAATAAATTGAGCAAGAAAGATGTCACAGAATCTTTTTTCATTATTTTTCTTCAGAAAAGAACTACAAAGTCAGGTATTCTTTTTTTTTTTTAATTGAAGTAAGGAGTTTCTTTTTTTTTTTTTTTTTTGGATGTTCACATGAAAAAGAGTCCAGAACTATGCCCAGGGGAATCAGAAACATTTTATGTTTGCTTTGCTACTGAAACCCACAGAATTTATCTGCAAAGAAGATGTCTATTTTTGGCATCAATTCTTACTAAACAAATGACATCATGAATATAATCTTCAGGAGCCAAAAGACTCTAAGATCGGCTCATATCACCCAATTTTTTTCTATTAAAAGCACTGACTTCTTCTAAACAAATTAAGTCACAAGGGATCATGGATTTAAATGTAAAACATAAAGCTATAAAGCTTTTAGAAACCAAAAAATAAGAGAAAAACTCCAGGTCTCAGGATAGGCAAAAAGTTCTTAGACTAGACACAAAAAGCATAATTCATCAAAGGAAAACTCAATAAATTGGACTTCATCAGATTGAGGACTTTTGTCTTATAAAAGACCATGTGAAGAGGATAAAAGGCAAGCTATAAATGGGAAAAAGTACTCGCAAACCACATGCCCAACAAAAGACTAAGATCTAAACACTATAAAGAATATTCCAAATTCAACAGTTAAAAAAAGGTAACAATCCATTAGAAAATGGGCAAAAGATATGAACAGATATTTGAATGAAAAGGCTGGACAGGTGGCAAATGAGCACATGAATAGGTGTTCAACATCATTAGCCATCAGGGAAAGATAAATGAAAACCAACAACAATGAGGTATCACCATGCACTAGTGGAATGGCTAAAATGAAAAACACTGGCAACATCACACGCTGGTGCGGATGCAGAAAAAATGAATTGCTCCTACATTACTGGTAAGAAGGCAAAACAGCAGTCCCTGTGGAAGAAATTTTCGCAGCGTGGGGGGCTAACTGACGGCCCCCAGAAGGTGTTCTTGGCCGAATCCTCAGAACCTTTGAAAACATTACCTTATACGACAAAAGAGATTTTGCAGATGTGATTAGACCAAAATCTTGACATGAGATTATCCTGGATTATCTAGTGGGTGTAATAACATCACGAGGGTTCTTGGAAGATGAAGACAGGTGTCGGAGAGAAGAGAAGATGCTCCAAACCTGGCTTTAAACATGGAGGAGCTGGTGGAGGCGAGAAATAGATTCTCCTCTGGAAAACCCAGGAGGAATCCCCCCTGCCGATTGCATAAGACTCATTTCAGACTTCTGAATAAATGTGTGTTGTTTTAGGCCACTAATTTTGTGGCAGCAATAGAAAATTAATACAGGCCGTTTCTTGTAAAATTAAACATACCACTATCATATGCCATCATAATTGTCTCTTGGATGTTTATGCCAAAGAAATGGGAAACTTAGAGTCACACCACAGCCTGTCAGGAAAGAGTCATAGCAGCCCAATTTTAATAGTCACTAACCAAGGCAGCCCAGATGTCCTTCGACAGGTGGATTCAACAGCGGTAGTACATTCATAGTACAGCGCATGATTCAGCAGTACAAAGGGATGAATCACTGATACATGAAACGATTTGGAGGCATCTCAAGCGAATTATGCTGGGTAAAAAATCCAAACGCAGAAGGCTACAGACTGTGTGATTCCATTTGTCATTCTTGAAATGACAAAATTATGGAAATGGGAAACAGATGAGGGACGGAAGGTGTGGCAGGAGGGAGAAAGAAAGATGTGCTTATAAAAGGGAAACATGGGGATCCTCGTGATGAAAGGGTTCAGGGTCTTGATTGTAGTGGTAGATACACAAACCTACACATGTGATAAAACTGTATAGAACCAAACACACACACACACACACACACACACACACACACACAGATGAGTACAAAAAAATGGGGACAATGTGAATAAGAAAGGTGGATTATTACTAATGCCAATATCTAGGTTGTGATATTGTACTATAGTTTTGCAAGATGCTACCATTGGGGGAAAGTGAGTAAATGGTACATGAGATTTCTCTGCATTCTTTCTTTAAAAAATATATTTTATTTATTTATTTATTTATTTATTTATTTATTTATTTATTTGAGAGAGCGAGAGCATGTGCCCATTGTAGGGGGTGGGGGGAGGGATGCAGAGGGAGAAGCAGACTCTCTGCTGAGCAGGAAGCCCAACGCAGGCTCCATCACAGGACCCTGGGATCATGACCTGAGCCCAAGGCAGATGCTCAAACAACTGAGCCACCCAGGGGCACCTCTCTGCATTATTTCTTGCAACTGCATGTGAACCTACCATTATCTCAATAAATTTTCTTTTTTTAAAAGGTTTTATTTATTTATTTGTCAGAGAGAGAGAGAGAGAGAGCACAAGCAGGGGGAGTGGCAGGCAGAGGGAGAAGCAGGCTCCCTGATGAACAAGGAGCCTGATGCGGGGCTCGATCCCAGGACCCCAGGATCATGACTTAAGCCGAAGGCAGAACGCTTAACCGACTGAGCTACCCAGGGGTCCCTCAATAAATTTTCAATTAAAAAGGCATGTATTACTATCAGCATACTAAAATAATGTCTTCCTCTTTAACAAGCATTTTATGTCCCTCATACAAACAAATACTATTAGCATTTTAGTAGAACTACTCTTGTAACTATTACAGATAGTTACATATTGGTATATAAATTTTTTAGTCATAGAGGAAAACTACCCTTAAGTCAGATGATTCAATACTCTATCTGCTTTTTATTTTTGCCATATATACATTTCTGCAATGCCCTACTCTACTAAACCCTTCATATCGACTACCACAAGTAGAATGGTGGTTAAAGCCTCAGGCTCTAAAATACGATTATCAGGGTCAAGCCTAAGTTTCACTATTTATGATTTATGTGTGCTTAAGTTCTCCATGACTTAGGTTCCTCCACTGAGAAATGGAGTGAAGACTAATAGCTACCTAAAAGGGTCATCGTGACAATTAAATGAGTTCATATGTGCATATAAAGACTGGACACAGAATCTTATACAGAGAAAACACTCAGTATTACTTATTATTCTGGTCTGTATCATTATTCCTGCTATTTTATCACTATCAGGGTATAGGGGTATATAGGTGTGTGTGTGTGTGTGTGTATATATATATATATATATACACACTATGCACACAGATAGGATCCACAAACCTAAGGGAAGAAACTGTAGAGTGAAGGCCATGCTGAGACAAGTGAGCATCCATCTTTGTGATGACATGAGTGGGACCCCTTGCTGCCAGCTAAATGACTTATTCCTAGAAATCTCATTATGCTTTATACTAAAAAGCCACTTTGCTCTCTCCCTTTCTCTTTTGATGCCCATGCCCCCACAGTTGTATGACACAAACTAATCTCTTAGATTAAATTTAATTCAGGGTACCTGTGAACAGTAACAGATTATGTTTCCATGTTTTCTTTGTAGCTTGATTTTTTGGAACTTAGAAGAGATGGTTTAGGTTTGTAATAATGGAAAAGGCAAAAAGTTGTAACTTTAAAAAACTGTGGTAAAAAAATATGTGACATAAAATTTACCATTTTATTCAGCTTTAGGTGTACAGGTAAGTAGTGTTAACCATATTCACACTTTTATGCAACAGATGTCCAGAACTCTTCATCTTGCAAAACGAAAACTCTATGCCCATTAAAAGAACAATTCCCTGTTTCCCTTCCCCCAGGCCCTGGCAACAACTATTCTACTTTCTGTTTCTATGAGTTTGACTACCTTAGACACATCATAATTGAAATCACAAAGTATTTGTCTTTTTGTGACTGGTTTATTTCACTTAGCATAATGTCCTCAAGCTTTATCCATGTCGTTCCTTTCTTTTTAAGGCTGAATAATGTTCCATTATATATATATACACACACTAAATTTTCTTTATCCATTCATCCACTGATGAACATTTAGATTGCTTCTACTCTTGGCTATCATGCACAATGCTGCTATGAACATGGGCATGCAAACACACTATCCCTTTGAGATCCTGCCTTAAATTCTTTTTTTTTCTGCTTTAAATTCTTTTGGATATATACCTAAAAGTGAGATTGCTGAATCATGTGATAGTTCTATATTAAATTTTTTGATGAACTTTTATACTGTCTTCCATAGTGGTTGCACCATTTTATAATCTCACCAATAGTGCACATGGTTGTCAACACTTACTATTTTCTGGTTTTTCAAGAGTAGCCATACTAATGGGTATGAGGTGATATCTCATTGTGGTATTTGTATTTCTCCTATGATGAATGAGGTATAGCATCTTTCATGCTTGTTGGCCATCTATCTCTATGTCATCTTTGGAGATATGTCTATTCAAGTACTTTGCCTATTTTTCAATTGGGTTAGTTTTTGTTGTTTAATATTCTAGATATTAAAAGAATGCAATATTATGAGTCAATAAATATTATAATTGACTATGTCAGCAGCTTGAATGGCTCTTACGTTCAGCAACGTTTGGGGCAGGGTCTTAATGCTTTCTTTGTTTCTCCCTCTAGAACCTTATCAGTGCTTTATACCCAGGACCCACCTTATGTTCTTTGTCAATGGCTTCTCTCTCCTCCCTATGGACAAAGCCAGAAACTCCACTCTATTCCTTATCTCCTATTTCCAATGGGTTTCCAAATACTACCCATTTTATCCATGACTAGATAACCCTATAGGAATATTAAGTACCTTCTTAGGATGAGAATGAAGCAAAGTCATCTCCAATAGCATGAAAACAAAATTTGAGGGCAGCTAGGTGGCTCAGTCGGTTAAGCATCTGCCTTCGGCTCATGTCATGATCTCAGGGTCCTGAGATGGAGTCCCACATCCCATCAGCTCCATGCTCATCAGGGAGTCTGCTTCTCCCTCTCCCTCTGCCCTTCCCCCACAACCATTCATGCGTGTGTGTGTGTGCACGCGCGTGCGTGTGTTCTCTCTCCCTCTCTCTAATAAATAAAATCTTTAAAAAAAAACAAAATTTGAAAGAAGTGTATATTTGATGTTTCTATAAAAATATCAAAATATTGTTATAGGCAAAATCAGAAGTTTATTGGATTTTGTTATGTTTATTTTACAATTCAGTGTTTTTATTTTAAACAACATATGAGTGCTAGGGAGGATGCCATTAGCTTGTCAGTGCTTAGGGTCTTTACATTTCTTAATCCAACCTAATTTTACCTTAAAGTCATGTCTTTGCTATCCAACTGCCACTGCTCAGGTTCTGGCCCTGCGTTATAGCTTATATGACCTGCTCCTTTTAAACTGGAGCCCTTGCCTCTCCTTAGAATCAGGTTTCTGCTGCCCAGATTACTTTTCTCTAAGACATATCATCATTCCCCAGCTGGAAATGGCTTCCCACCACCTGTGGCCAAGCCTAGATTCCCTAGCATAAATTTTAAGGCTCTCTGACATCTGAGCCCAAAGTACCTTGTGAGTTTTGTCTTCTATTATGTCCTTTCATGTCCCTTGCCAGGCTAGACAACCTGCCCTCTGCCTTCTCCTACACAGATCACCTTCAAAAGCCCCCCTTTACTCATGCTATTCCCTGGGACTGAAATTCCTGTCCACCTCTGCCACACATACCACCCCCAACCACCACCATTTTTCACCCAAACAATGATCCATTGTTTAGATCAACAAAAAGTTCGTGGGCTGAACTCATGGACTGTGGTGCTCAGGCAGCCATGACAACCATCAACTGTGACCCAACCCTGCCCGTGACACTCAAACACACAAGAGCAAAAAGGTTATTGGTTCTTTTCCCAATCCACCTCCTATTTTCATGATATGCGTACCTTGATTCATCCACATCTGCCTCACAGAACAACCCCATCCAAGTTGCTGGCTAGTGCTCAAAAGGGAATAGGGCAATACTGATAACTTTGCCACTCCCAGCTGGCCTTTGACCCTTGGGGTCCAATCGGAGCTCTCTTGACTTTGTGTCTCCTGGTTTCAGCTTTCTGAGTCATGATCAGAATTTGGGCACTTCTTCCACAACTTCTGGCAAGTCACTAGACTTTCTAGTATTATCACCATTCCTGGTGCCAAATAAGTGCACTTGTAAATTAAAGATCTATCCTCAGCATCCAGCTGCCATATTTCTGGTGTCTAACGTAGCTTCAGCCACGAACAGTGAGGATGACACAGTGTAAATGTGCCACATCCAAATATCTCAGTATGCACTATGATGTCATTAGCATCCACCTTGTGCGCTGATGGAATTCGCTTCCTTATACTCTAGGTTTGAATCCTCCTGCTATGTGAAGCAGTTTTATAGTCATCATGGTTAGATCACTATCATGTACAAATCTTTCTCTTTTAGGTTTCCAGGACCCAATGGCAATGTGGCAGAGGCCAGGTGGGGCAGGGTCCTCCATACCACCAAGCAAGTCTTGGGACACCAACTGGGTGTCCATGAATTCAACTCAATTCTGACACTACCTACCCCTAGATAGCACCAGATTCTACAGGTTGGGGGCACAGTCCCACAAGATGCCCCTCCCCCAACTTCACACACCAGTAGCAAGCCCAGGTGGTTACCTGGTTTCTGACCAACCCGCTACAGATTGGGGGTTCCCACAACCCCCTCCTTCTTTTTCAGACTCAAGTCACAAGTCCAGGTTGTTACTGTACTTCCGACCAACTGGCTATAAATCTGAGGTTCCTGAGACCCTTCCTTAAGTTTGATTAATTTTCTAGAGCAGCTCACAGAACTCAGGAAACGTGTTTTCTCACTAGCTTACCAATTTACTATAAAAGGATAACACTCAGGAACAGCCAGATAGAAGAGTACAAGGTATGGGGGAAAGGCACAGAGTTTCCATGCCCTCTCCCAGGCATGCCACTCTCCCCAAGTCTCCCCAAGTTTCTCCATCTGGAAGCTCTCTGAATTCTGTCCTTCTGGGTTTTTATGGAGGCTTTGTTACATAGTCTGATTGATAGAACTCAATCTCCAGCCACTCTCCCTTCCCCAGAGGTCAGGAGGGATAGGAAGTTCCAACCCTCCCATCACAGAGTTAGCTGCCCTGGCAACCCCATCCTTAGAAGCTTTCTAAAAGTCGCCTCACTTGCACAACAAAAGACAACTTTATTGCCCTCATCACCTAGGAAATTCTGAGGGTTCTAGGAATTCTGTGCCAAAACAGGGCCAAGACCAAATAAACTATATTTATTATTATAAACCACAATGTCACATCTTCCAACTGCTGAGAATTCAATATTATCTCTACCTTGTAACTAGACAAACTGAGTCCTGGAAATCAGGATAATTTTCTCCTGTACCAAAAGTCAGAGTCAAAGTTTCCTTCCTTTCAGATAGAATGTTGCTCAAAAGTCATTATCTGGGAAGGTGGGCAACAAGGAAGGCCAAATCCCTGAATAGACTGGAGAATACAGGATGGTGAGCCAGCTGCAGGTGTTGGGAGTACACTTCTCCCCACTTAACCTTGACCCCTGTGTCATTTCTTCTTACTTTCACCAGATAGGTGCTTACATTGTCAGCCCCATCCACAGAGAAAAAAGAAGTTAGACTAGGCCCCAAAGAATTCAGTCTGCAAGCTCATTAGCCAAGCCCCCGCTTTGGGCGATGGTCTAAAAACCAGCAGCCTGGTGAGACATGTAGCTCTGTTCGGCCTCGAACAGCAAGTGCTTTTGGTCACAGTAACAGGCTCTCCAAGGAAAAAGAAGGAATCCACTGCTGACGACACTCAGTCCTCTCAGGGTTGATGACATCCCACAAAACAACTGGACCCCAGCCTCCATGACACCTGGACGTGCAAAGAGAAGGACTGAGCGAACTATAGAGCTGCTGCATCTTTTAAATGAATGTAAGTTTTCAGAGGCTACAAGGGAGCCTAGTGAAAGAATTAATATGGCCCTTTTTAGAGCCAGTGACTGTGTCCAAAAAAAGATATGCGCTAACATTTAGTCAATATATTCCTCACCATTGACTATTTTCCCTGTCCATTCTAAGACACTCATTATCAGATAGCTTCACCCCAATGCTATCTTTTCACAGTCTGTTGCAGTTACACTGAAATGACATCAGCTCTTGTCCATTCTCACGATCAGATAAATGGGTGTAAAAGCCATTCTCTGTATATAGAAAGCTTTCATTATAATGTACTTTTGCCGGCATTTTTTTTAAGGGGGAGAGGAAGCTGACGGTATTCATACACTAAATCAGAGCCTTGAGTACAGCAGGAGAGGAGACGCCAAAACTCTGGCTCGGCTTGCATCACAACACTGACATCTGTTGGCTGCAAGCGCGCTGGATCCTCTGCAGCTGCGGGACCGCTCCTACGAAACTGAATCTCTTAACGGCCCTGGGCCATTTAAGATATGTGATGTCCTTCACTCCTAATAGATTGCAAACTTGTGTTCAGAGTTTCTTATGTTAGCCTTCAACTCTCTCACGAAACAAGACTTTATGCCATTTTAATTCTTTTCTAAAACAAATCAAACATTTGTGTATGCAACATCCACATCCATCCAAACAAGCTGCATAAATGAGAACTGTCATTTTACTGATACAATTTTGAAATGTACTTTATGAGGGAGATCACACAAAACACGCTTATTGACATATCAGCCCATCCCCCATACAAAGGCTTCCTACTATTCAGCCTGCTAACTAGTCTCTCCTCCTTCCTTGACCTCACCCTCCTCTGTGTTCTTCACTTCTCCAGGATCCTACACTCGCCTTTTCTTCCTCTGCCTATGAGGACCCACAAAGACTCCCTCTCCAGGCCTCCAGAGGCCTTTTAATGCACAGTGTCTATGGGACTGTATCTAAGCACATGGTTTAATATCCCATAGAATAAAGAACACCCTGACCTTTCCTCTCCTTTATCCCCTAAGTTTTCAAAGACTTAGAATAAAAGGGATTACCTCCAAAGCCCCTTATTTAATGCTGTGTTATCAATATTAATCAACATCTGTATCAATATCAATAACTTTATCATAAACACTGAACTATTTATTGTCCTCTTCTGAATCAACACCCCATCCCAACTCCCCCATTTCTACCAACTACAGCACCACCCTCCCAGGCCCTTAACTGCAGTCGGACGTGGTGTTGGTGTGGGTGTCCTGGCTGGCTCCCTTCTTTTCTCTCCCACAACATTCCTGATCCCTCCCCCAGCAGGAGGCCTGACCCCCATCCACCTGCCTCTCACCCAGACAGACACAACAGAACGTTCTTCCTCTTCCATGACACAATTTCTATCTATGTACTGAGGACTCCTACATCCCCTTCTCCAGCCTAGACCTCTCCCCTAAACTCCAGACCCACGTAATCCACAACTGCTCATCTTCACGTGGCTATCCCCCTGGGGTACCTGAAACTCCACATACCTAAAATCAAACTCCTATTCTTTCTTCCTTCCCCCACAAACTGCTTCCCTTTCCTCTGTTCCTTATCTCTGTAAATAGAGAGATTATTAGCTTTGCCGTCCAAGCCAAAAACTGGGAGTGACCCACAACTTTATCTGTCCCTCAGATATCATGTCCATCAATCACAGAAGCTTAATTAATTCACCTGTTGATTCCAGCTGCTGGGTTACGCTTTATTTCATTCATGTCTCACCAACCCAACTGTAGCAGAGACCACGGTCTACCGCCTAAGATTTGGACTCCTCTTCTGTAGCATGGAATTGTCACAGGGAAACAGCTGTCCAGACAGACACTCTATTTTCTAAGCCCCTGGTATCTGGTGTGGGGAAGAGAGCATATGATTAGCTATTGCCCATGGAATATAAGCTGATGTGACTTGTACTACTTAGCATTTGCAAAGCAGACGTACATCCCCAAGGCTCTTTCCTCGTCCACCAGCAGAACGGAGCGGACTCTGGGGTCTGAGAGGATGATGGGACCATGCGATAGAGGGACCCTAGGTCTCCGAATGAGACCCAGAATGCTGTCTGCCTGGAATCCCCATATTGGGCTGCGACACAGCATGGAAACAACTTTTGTTGTGTTGAGGCATGGAGAGTTCTGGGCTTGTCCGTTACAGCACCTGAAGCGCTCTCTGACCCTCCCTAGGTCAGGGCACCATCACTGCTCCCCCAGGCTCCTGCAGGTGACTCTCAGCTGACTCTGTGCCTTTAGCCCTGTCTGCGCGCCCCTCCCCTGTGGCATGTAAGCTCCTTGGAGGCACCCATCAGGAAGCCCAGCCCCTGGTATGCAGTAAAAATGACTAGGATCCTTTCCTCCTAATTTCTCCCTGGCTCATACTCTCCTCTCTTGGTTTCTGTTACCTCGTGTCCCTCTTCCTCTTATCCTAACCACATGCACACGCATACACAGTCTCGCTCGCTCTCTCTCTCGCTCTCTCTCACCAAGGGTCCACTTGAGCCCTCATTACACACTCCTGAGGGAGGAACTGAGGTTCACTCTTCACAGAGCTTCACAGCAAATGTTCAATAAATGCCACCCACTGAAGCCAATAATTTGCTTTAAATAATACTCTACCTACCATCCTCTAGATGCCTCTGGGTCCAAACTTTTTTTTCATATATTTGAATTAGAGGGATTTTAATAAATTATACTTAAATTTAAAATGAAACACAGCCTTTACAAAGAAAAGCATCTCTCCATTACCTCCTTTGTGACTGTGGAGTTTTCCAAAGGGGAAATAGATTGTTAGAGTATGAAATAGGCAATTAGTTCCAATGTATAGTTATCATTAATAACAATTAATAGTAAAAATTATAGTTTAGTGTCTATTAAACCAGTGCCTGGCTCACACAGTAAATGCGCTGCCAAATATCTAATTTAGTTCTAACAACAACCTATAAAGCAGTTTTCTTGCTGTTTCTGAATTTTATCAACTTCTCCCCAAGCTTCCTTTCTCGGAAGAGTCCAGAACTGAGGAAGGGAGCTCTCCTTGAGACACCTGAAAGGCTCACTGCTGAGGCCTTCTGAAAGACAAGGGGTCTAGCGAGCATGCCAGAACATAGCTCGTGAAGAAGAGCCAGGGGCTGTCAGCCTCAGAGAAGATTCTCCCATCTTCACAGGGGGGCTGCTGGGAAGGTAGGGGGAAATCCTGGAGATGCAACACCTAGTCCCCAGACAGACACCATTATCACCCCTGTAATCCACCCATGTCATATGCTCCACTCATCACACAGTCCGTACGTCAATGTCTGCCGTGTGGTCAGTCAAATGACATGCGTCATCTTAAGCACAAGGGAGCTATGCTCCCAGTATTCCTAGGACACACAGGCCAGCCCAGAACCAAAATCCCTTCAAACCATTCAACATAGCACCCCTCAAAGAGATAAAACCTAGCTCTCAAGTAAATTTGTTAAAGCCCTCAGATGTGCCTTACCATGCATTTGAAGAACTATTTTTCATTTATGAGCTGTACATTATCACTTTGTGTGCGGCCATCATATATACTATGCTGCACAAAAATAATTGATTACTTATGAGTGACAGAGTAATTGGCACTACCCCAGTTATTCAGCTGTTTTTATGCATTATAATTACTAGCTTCGGTACACTAGACAGAATTTAATGTTCTTGAAAATTAATATTATTGAAAAACTTGATACAAAAGCATGTAATGTTCTTAAATTAAAAACCTGTCACACAGTGATAGAGTCTCACATTGTTGGCTATTTATCAACATTTTGTTTTAATCACTTCAAACCTTTTTATCAAGGTACCGAGACTGGCGCTCATGTCAATTCAGTACAACTGAATTCTAGTTGCTCACAATCTGAATTAAAGTTTGCAATAATAATATTACATGTTTAATGTTGTCTCGGAGACCTAGAATCTTTTGCCTACTGACCTGCATTATAGCTATGAGTTCCTTGAAAGCAAAAAAAGAGGCATTTATATATGATCCTAGTAAGTGCCTGGTGTGCTAAGGCTGCATGAAATATATTAAAGAAATAGAATAATATACAACAAGGACTTCCAGGGGGCGCCTGGGTGGCTCCGTTGGTTAAGCGACTGCCTTCGGCTCAGGTCATGATCCTGGAGTCCCGGGATCAAGTCCTGCATCAGGCTCCCTGCTCAGCAGGGGGTCTGCTTCTCCCTCTGACCCTCCCCCCTCTCATGTGCTTTCTCTCTCTCATTCTTTCTCTCTCGCAAATAAATAAAATCTTAAAAAAAAAAAAAACAAGGACTTCCATGAACTCACTAGAAGAAATTCCATCTTCTGTACTAGGACTAGGTGTGATACAGCAGAGACCCTGCCAAGATAAGAGACATGGTTGTGAAGCTGGATGGGGTCCTAACTGAATGTCATCCTTCCCAGGGTGAGAGTACCAAGATAGGAGATCTGTCATTATGCTTTTGATTGAATAAGGAGAACCCTCCCCCCCTTTAAAATGACTTAATCCCGGTCTCCCAAAATGCTCATGACTTCCTGAAACCTGTTTTCCTTTTCAGCACTCTGATAAATTTCTGCATCCTGCAGTCTCTTTCTTTTTTTTTTTTTAAGATTTTATTTGTCAAAGAGAGAGTTGGCGGGGGGAGAGAGAGAGAGAAAGAGCACAAGCAGGGGGAGCGGCAGGCAGAGGGGGAAGCAGACTCTCCGCTGAGCAGGGAGCCCGATGTGGGACTCGATCCCAGGACCCTGGGGTCATGACCTGAGCCAAAGGCAGACCCTTAACCAAATGAGCCACCCAGTCGCCCTATTGCAGTCTCTTTCTTTCCTCTTCTATTCTGTTTGCCTTTCTATTTTTAATAGCACAAATTTTACATGTTTCATTGAGTGCCATTCATCTGGGTGGGTCTTCTCCACTCTGCCACAGTCCCCCCTGCCCCATGAACTGCCAGGCCACACTAGCCATCTGGGGGTGGCTTTCCTGACTGGTCTCTCTCCTGAATTCATTTTCCCTGATCCTTCCTTCCCAATCCCGTCCATCTCTTTTCTCTTCCTCAGCAGTTGGCCAACATATGGAACTATGGCGTGCTTAAACACTTAATTCTTAAGTGCTTACATAGTACTTTCAGTTGCCTGTTCCTAATGCAAGAACCAGATTCGTAGACTCTTTTTTCAATCTTATTACTTCCTTTATAATAATAATTAAAGTTATGTTTTACTCCTGTGGCTCATGAATTGCTTTTTTATTTCTGTTAGCAGAAGTCCCTTAATAGAAAATGATTTCCCATCCCCAGTATAGTGGCTTAATAGATATGAATCAAAGAATCATAGAACATTTTACTATTATTAGTTTTAAGAAAATTAAAGTTAGAAAAGACAGGGCTAGCATCAATTTTAAATGTGAAGCCAAAATTCTAATATTTCCTTCATAATCATATTAATAGACTAACATAATTTCAAGTAATGGACTATATTGTTCTAATATACATCAATTTAATAATCAAAGTGATATCTGCCAACCTGATTAACTTCCATAAACTTGCATGAAAAATGCTTTTTATCACATACTATGTACAAAAAATCAAAATGCATTATAAACCTAAGATTTTAGTTCTTACTATAATTAATAAGAACTAAAACTACA